AAAAAAAACACAGGTGCTGGACACACTCATATGATGTGTATACTGTTATATGATACTGTATACACACCTCATATTAGTGTGTCCAGCATCATGTGGTTTTGATATTATCATCAAACAATAATTTTATAAACATTTATACAAGTTTTTCAATTAATACTGGTACATGCAATACGCTAAAACATCTGATATAATATTTTCCCTCTTGTAATGAATGTCATTTTAGGTTGACTGTTCCATTGGTAATGACATGAATACTAAGGGTATGCATTTGGATCTGTTTTGCATAAAAAATTCAAAGCTAAATATTAAACAATATAGATGAATCTTTAATCTAATGACAATAGTATACACCTGTCTGTTTCGAATGTATAAGTAAAACCTTCATTTCTTAATGTTAGAGATTGTTAGCATACCATTTGAACATGGATAATTTTATCTACAGCAGCAGAAATTTTCTTTGGCCACGCAGTTGTTTTCTTTGATACCTGGTGATTTTAGTTTTTATGAGATAAATATCTTGTGTGTCCCTCTTATATAACTGTTTATACACTGAACAAACTGTACTATACTTGAAATCATAGATCAGGTATAACTTGATATGATAACTGTGAACAAAACATGACACCTGTTCAGTCTGTGCCAACCTTTTTCTCTCTCCAGGGAGCAGGTACGTGTGAACGGCTTTGGCTTGTTCCTGCTCATCCTATACCCTGGTGCCTACGTCGATTTGTATACTGACCATCTACAGGTTGTCTCCCCCATACGACAGCTCAGGATCTACTGTGCAGGGGTTTGGCACAATTTTGTCATAGTGATATTTTCTGTGATTATGTTGGTCCTCCTGCCTTACCTCTGGGTACCTCTGTACACTGCAGGAAATGCTGTGGCCGTCACCTATGTTACCGAGGTATGTTGAGGCAGCATCTTATTTCAGGGACAGAATCTGAATAAAATGTATTAGGCTTGTAAGTTAACAATTTAAAATATTGTGTGTCAGCACATCCAATTATGATGGGCAAAAAAGAATTGATGCAGATATTAGTACTGTGCAGCAAGAACAAACCCATAATACAGTTTAAACTCCATAGTTATGTATGTTGTTTCAAAGACAATTAGACAAATTATTGAGGTGTAAGAGTGTAAGGATTTATATTGTTCTAATTGTGTTTGAGGTATAAGAGTGTAAGGATTTATATTGTTCTAATTGTGTTAATCAAAATGTAAACATAATATGATCATGTCAGTTGCATTCTTAAGATATGCTGTGAGTTTGGATAGGGCATGTACTAGTCATCAATAATTTCTCCATTAATAACCTCTGACCCCTACCTGTTCAGAATTCAGCTGTGTCTGGTCCACGTGGTCTCAGCGTAGGGGACCCCATCACCAGTGTCAGTGGCTGTCATGTGCGTAACCTTGACGACTGGACCAGCTGCATCAGTTTTAGCATGAGGGAGTCTTCACTTGGACACTGTATGGCGATCGACCTTGTGAAAAGTCTCGACACCAAAGATCGAAGTATGTTGTTGGTAGGGCTATCACAGTAAAGTGAATTGGAAATCCGGTGTATTGCAATGCACAAGAATATAGGTGATAAGTTCACTATCCGTCACCTTATAATGGGTGAATGGTGGTGTAAAACATTTCTGAACCCTTCTGAAAACCTGAGTTTGATAGTAATTGCAATTCTGACTGCACTGTTTGATCAGTGTCAGTGTTTCTTCTGGGTTTGGAATATTTTGCCATAGAGACTATTGTAACAATTCATGTGTTGTAGAAAGGTTATGTATCACAACCAGTAAGTGTTTATGTCTGATGTTTCATTGACTAGTAGAGTACACACCTGTCACCTTCGTTAGACAAATGACAAGTGAATTAGCGTATGTACCCAAAGGTCTAAAATATGCAGGAGTGGGCAATATAAAATTGAAGTCTATTCGGATACGATATAATTGTATTACGCTTAGTTATTATAAATGCACGACAATTTGATTCTGCTATGGTCATGGATGTGCCAGATTACCAGTTGTGATATATAAGCTTTCTTCAATACATACTTACTGAAACCAACCTGAAGAAAATGTTTAAGAAAAAAACACCATATTGTCTGTGTAATAAAAAGAATTAAATGCATGCAAGTTGACAGAAAATGTATTTAACATGCCCAGGTTAAACTGTGATCACGAGAGATCATTCATTATACCTCTAATGTTTCTTTTCACAGTATGATTTTGGTAAGACCAGCGATTACACCTTTAGAATTTTCTTATTTTTACAGATTTATCCATATCTGGCAAGTCAGAAGCTTTAGACTGTTGTAATAGCACCAGCAATACTCACCTGTGTTTTAGATTCCATGTCAAAACCTCCCCAGAAAATGTGAGTCTTTTTATTAATATTTCATAATTTTGAAATAACAACTCATAACATTTTTTTGCTTAAATTTGAGTGCACCTCCAAGATACATAAAAATTCTATGATTTTAGAGGAAGTGGTTCTAGTATACCCGTACAACACATTTACACACTATAATGTATATGTAGTCCAGACCATGTATCTGCTGTTCTAGTAAATGATGTTAAATGTTATTCATGTTTGAAATATTTACAGATTGTTTAACTCTGTACTACACTATTTTGTAATCATTTTTCGCTAAATATTTACACATCAATATTGTTTACAATGTCATTAGCATCAACTGGTCTGGACACAGTAGCTACATAGTTCGGTACTAACTCTATCTTTAACCCACAGAACTACCAGAAAGAAGTTTAAGTGGATGTGATAAGTAGCCGATATTTAATGGTTTCTCATTGAATACCATGATTAATAAAATCTTTTACATGTAACTGAGTTAGATCGGGTTATCTCAGTCGAGGGTTGTGTTGTAACCAAATCCCAACCGAGGCGTAGCAGAGGTAGGGATGTTACAGAATCTTAGCCCGAGACTGAGATAACCCGATCTC